CATGACAGTAACAAGTAGCAATGGAACGCAACGTTATGCTACATTATACAAAAGCTAGCCAACAGACATTCCCCTTTCTATCGTTTCAGATTTAAACGCACCAAAATAAAGTTGTATCAATTAATCATGGTTAACTTTTTTCTTCCCCATTTGCCATCTGTAGCAGCAGTGGTCGTATGGTCGTTTTTTTTTTTTTTACGGCGGGGGATTTTTACCCTGAAATATGCTTTTGAAAATACACAGAACTTCCTTTCATACTTTTCCATCACAGTTAAGCAGAACTTTGAGAAGATCACATCAAAGATGAGAGACCTTTTCAAACTCTGGTTTCCAAGTGATGCTCTCTATGGACGATAGTGTTATGGCGTCATGGTCATACACGCAGCCTGATCACTGTGTCTCACTGGATCACCAGTGAAAACCCACAGATGCCCTCAGGAATATTTGGTGGCATATTCAAGTCTCTGTCTTTTGTTCCCTCGCCTTTTTTTTGCAGATAAAAAATGGCTCTTGCATAATGACACGGGATCAGATGACTTCTGACGGAGTAAACATCTCATCCATCTCCTGTACTTCGCCCCTTTTGTTGCTCTGTCATGAAATCCCTTGTGATTATATTAAAACATATTACATTTAAAAACCTGAATTCAGTGATTATCCACATGCTTTTACAGTGTTGATAATTATTTTGAAATGTGACATATTTAGCTAAATGTTGGCCGTGTAGTGGGACATGTATATGAGGCACACTAAAAATTAGCACTATCTGAACTTAGACCTGTTTTGTCCATCTTTGTTAGCTCAATGCTAGCTCTCATGATCTGGTTTTAGATTAATGAGGAAACATTAATAGTGTAGTAATAATAGTGTAAAAGCTTCTGATTCTTAACTGTGGACACAATTCCACCACAATAAGTCATTTGTTGAGGTCCAGATGAGACAGTTACTAAAGTATGCACTCTGAAAAGGAAGTGATGTCACTGGGGCTTACAAAATGTGTGTTCTTTCAAATTAAATTAGATCTATGGCGGCCTGGTGCCTTCACTTACCCCAAAAATACCCCAACAATGCCATTATTTGACATCTGCAATGAGAAGTGGTGGGGAGAGAGAGTGAGAGACAGAGAGCTGAGCATGTAGACTTCCTGTCTGAACAGAGTTGCAGACTCTTTGTGGTTATTATTGTCTGTGTCTGAAAGTCAGTACATGCCAGTGATGTGATATCACTTTAAAAATAAAAGAAAAAACACATCGCAGAGATCGGGGGATTTTTTAAGCATGTTTTGTTGTCTGTGTATAAATGGCATTAGATGACTAGTGGAATTAAACATTTTCACACTACAAATGTGTCGTGCTTCATGCAAAAAACAAAAAACAAAAAACTGACACAACAGAGCTCTTAGCTTTCAAAGCGACTTATAACTATTTTCTACTGAAAAGGAACTCCCAAAAAGTCAATCTACGTCAGACAAAATCAAATCTCTGCCTCTATCATCTTTACAGGCCCAGATATTGATCAGCTGTCGTCACTGTGGCCGACTTGATTTCCCAGAAATGACACTGCACGCCTTGGACAGGTTAGGTGCAACCTTCGCCACAACTATAATTAGCTTGCCATCCAGGGGAAAGTTAATATTTTTCAAGCTGAAGTGAAGCTTATTGGTTTCCTGGACAGGCTGTAATAGATCACCCTATGAGGGCAGCGCACACACACAGACAGTAGTGCACATATAAACACAAACACACACACGTACCCCAGGAGGCCTGTGGTCAGACAGACAGTGACACACAAATCTATCCCCATTGCCAACATGAGAGACGGGGCCGACTGGCTGAGCAGCTGCCTGATCAATAGTAATCACTGACCTTGTTTACTAGGCCATCACTAAATCTACAACTTTGAAAAACAAATTTTAAGAACGAGCAAACGTGTGTGGGCAACAGCTAGAATTGACCTTTCTGCTTCTTGTTTTGAGAGTTTATTTCTGGAATATTGTAATGCAATCAAAATGTGTGCTGGTGTTTTCAGATCATGAATACTGCTAAATATGCATTTTTTGTAGAAAAATCTAAAGGAGTGACAAACTAAACTGATCAATTGTTTCTTGGGTCACTGATCAGTTGTTACAAATGCCAATCACAGTCCATTTATACCTAGTTTATATGTATTGAATGAACAGTTACTGCCTGTTTTTGCAAATAGTGTTTTCAATGCGTGACACTGACATGATGTCACAGCACTTTCCTGGCAGCCAAATGTTGCTGTTTTCCCTTCATCAGGTTTGGTGAAGTCAACAGTGTGTAATTGTAGACTGTGAGCATGCTATGCTTTGAAACAGCAAGTAGCTGCAGCGCAGCACTTGCTGTGGGAAAACTTTAAAAGGCTTTAAATACCATCTCAATGCCTGGCATGCATTTAGACTCCGTGTTACTAACAAATTTGTCACTAATAAAAACATATATATATATCTTTCTGTTGATGAACAGTGCTTTTGTCTAATCATGATTAATTGCATTCATAATTTAATAAATGATTAATTGTGATTAATTCACTGCTGCTCTGTGATTAATGAGGTTAAATATTTGAATCTGTTGACAGTCCAACTTTCTGTACCGCCAACTTGGTGAAGAGTAGCAGTCCATTCAAATGGCTGAGGAGCTCAATTTAACTGTGTATTTAAATGCTCCTTTAATTAGCTCCACCATTTTGTTTTGTGTGTTTGTGTGTGAAGGGAATGTGTGTCGGAATTCTTTTTTTAGGGAGAGGAGTAAGATTAAGTTAACAACCTTCAAATTATACTGTTTAGAAGCACATTTCAAACATAAATGCTATAAGATCAGTACAAAAAAGAAAAAGAAAAAAGAATGAAACAAGGGGTGTTATGTGTGGTGTAGTTACACTAACTAAACCAGAATTAAAATTGACTTTACTGCAGAAGAGTGCCCTTATATTGATGAATAAAAAGCTTGGTGGGTGTCCGATACCACGGGTGTAGAGTTCCTAGAGCTAAAAATAAAGCAGCATTTGTCCTTTTTATCAACTTTTAGCTTCTGTGGCAAAGACAGAAGAAATATTTTCAATAACCTTTACCAAATCATAAATTACAGTCAGGTATTTGTGGAAACAAATATCACATTAGTTAGCTAAAATTAATATTTATACACTAGCACATAAATAGTTAATTGGACTTGAGAGTGAGTGATTATACATGTTATACCGAAATAAAAAATCCAGCCCCTCCGCTGCTACAGCTCCCCCTGTTATGTATACACTTTCCCCACCATCATGTATCAAGTGTTTCATTTAAAATAAATGAAAATAAAAGCAGACAGCAGGGACCGAGGGAGCTGGCAGCACCGCCACCACAACAACAACAAATAAATGTTTGCTGATAAATAAAACATATTCAATCAAAGCATAAACGCTAATGAAAAGAGAACCGCGCAAACACTGAGTGGAGTGTGTGAGCCCTGACACGGTGTGTTTGAGAAAGAGAGAGAGAGAGTGAGAGAGAGGTGTTAATTGCTGTGCTAATTAGGTCCTGATTGCATTGCTCTTGTTTTGCACTTGCAGGTGATTAAAATTTCAACAGAGCACATTATTTGGCACTGTTAACAGGTGCCAAGCTCAGCATACGACAGGGCCATGAAAACAGACGAGCGCACACACACAAACACGTACAAACACGATCAAACAGACATACGTTGGTGAACACACTGACTATAAATGGTTGATAAAAGCTAACACTTCTACTGAAAAACACCTAACAACACAACACAAAGCCATTAACATTAGTCTCCATTCTTTAACAGAAAGTAATAATCTTTTGAAATAATCTTTTGACTTAAAAAAGTCAAAAGATTTTCTTATGAACCAAAGGAGGGCGGGGGCCCAGCAGAGAACGTTTGGGAACCACTGCCTTAATCAGAGGTCAACAGACCCCACCCCTTTCTGACGTGACTCATTTTCACCAGGGCTAGGAGTTGGGGTTTAGGTGGATTTCAACTCTAGATCTCCACAGAAGAGTGACAGTACCACCACAGCTAATGTAAACTAACACAACGCTATAAACAACGCTATTATAAATGTGTATAATTATATCTCCAAACATGTTCGGAGATATAATTGAAAACATATGAATGAAAACAAACCCTTCACTGTGACTAAACATTATGGACCTTGAAGAATTAGAAGTGTCCCTGTCTGCTGCTCTCTCCTGGACCTGCTCATACATAATGAGTGACTTTAAAAACAGACACTGCTCTCACTTGTTGGTCAATAGTATCTATAAATACGAGTGCCTGCTCTGTAAATTAAGTGTCCGAGTCAACTGTCATAAATAAAAACCCTTAAAGTGGAGCTTAGGCGTAGACACTGTGCACCACGATGGGGTAGCAATGAATATGAAAACACTTCAAATACTGCTGATGTTAAGATAGATGCTGGTTAGTGAGCAGTCTACGCTGTCAGCACAGTGGGGAGCAGGATGAAACTGATCAGCCAATCACCAACTGGCTGGCTGACAAGTCTGAGAAACAATTGCTGCCGGGACGCCACTGACAGCACTGTCTTCACTGAGGCTGGGGTGTGGGTGTGTGTGTGTGTGCGTGGGTGGGCCCATCTTCTTCTGTTGGACTAGTGCCTGGGAAAATCTGCATCTGTTTCTTCAGCGGGATCTGCAGAAGTGTTGTCACAGTGACAGGCTCGTGTCTTCATCCTTTTTTTTAATCTATCTATCTATCTATCTATCTATCTGTCTATCGATCTATCTATCTATCTATCTATCTATCATCTGTCTGTCTGCATATCAGCTGCACATCATAAAGGCAGCAGAATGACAATGAGCGCCCAGTCACACACACACACACACACACACACATGCACACATAGACAGACATGCTGTGAGGTAGACAGTGACATTTGTTTGTTCTAAAGGACTTAGCCTAAAGCTCAAACCTCCACCACTGGTGACAGAAGAGTTACTCACGCTAGAAACTCACCAGGAGGCACAAATATGGAAACTTCACAGGCATTTTTTCTGTAAGTCATCATATATCAATGCGTGCGACGTCCTTCACAAGTCAACCTTTAGAATTAAATAATGTCAGAGAAGACAGTGAATATTGATTGCTGCATAAACCACTGTTACTCATGCATTTCATTTCAAGACATTGTGGACTGAGCACCACATAAACTTCATGAATTCACTGTACAGCAGTGTAGGTGTTAAATGTACAGCATTGATAATCGGTCCTACTGTAATCACTTAACGAGCAGTTGAGTGATCTTTCAGACAAATGCTTTAATACTAGTGTGTTTTATTCTTCCCTAATTACAAATGCATGTTTTTAGGCATCAGGTCATTGGCTATCTTCACACTGCAGGCTAAAAAAACTGGCCCAGACCCATTTGTTTGTACATATGTCCACCCCATTGCATGTTTTTTAGGCATCAGGTCATTGCTATCTTCTATGTGAACCATATCTGATTCAGAAACCATGTCCACCCCAAATATAGTCCTAAATCAGATAGCTCTGTCAGGTTTCACTATTGACATGGCTGAAAACAGGCAGTACTGGAGATACTCTTTCTCTTGCAGGTAGTTTATTTGAAAGTGCAAAGTCAAAACAACAACAACTCACTTCTTCACAAGACCAGGGACAAGGCATAAACCAGCTGAGGCATGAACTACTAAGTACAAACTAGGAACTTGACGCATACACTGAGCTGAGCACAGAACACACAACGAACAGATACAATGACCCCACTGAGACAGAGTAAGGGCAAGAGGTACAAAGGACACCAAGTGACACGAGTGAGACTAATCACAGAGACACAGGTGAAGGTGATGACACTGATTACCCCACACAGCAGACAGCAGGAACCAGGAACAGAGACCTGACAATGGCATGCTGTAACGGTCATCGCAATTTTCAATGAGCACTGTGTCTTGACCTGGACATAAAGGGAAATAAAGACATTTTGAAGTGTCACATGTGTTTCAGTATAAAACACTTCAACAGTGTAACTGCACTTAAGTCCTACACTTTCTGGTACAAGGCCACTCAGCTGTATATTTACATAGCTCATGTAAATATATACAATATATGTCACATGTTTACATGTTTTATGTAAAAAAAATATTTTTGATTATATTTCTTAAATAAATGCTTGGTTTCTTTATACCAAATATAAAAACTAGTGTTTATCACAGAAACATGGTAATAGGAAAGTGTCCAACTGCTGTTCCAGACAACCTTGTCTCCATGCATTCATTTGTTCTCTTCACAAATCCAATGAGCAAATTGATCTGCCATCATCAGACTCCCTCCCCATCTCCACCTTTAACTTCCTTAACTGCTGTAACTGCTTTTTAACCGACAGTGTCTCCAAGTCATGACAGACAGCAAAGACACACACACACACGCACACACACACACACACACACAGAGCCTGAGGTCTTGCGCAGCTGCTTTGTCTTCTATAGAGGCTGCAGTACTGGACCAGGACACCTGTCATTCTCCCACGACACAGACACACACACACACACACAAAGGCAGGGAGTGCGTCATTTCTAATTTCATGCCAATAAAAGGCGCAGTGGCTCATGAGAAATACATTTAGATGCGTGCAAGGAAAATAAGTGTTAATTATCAAGCAGTTAATTAAGTAAAAACAGTGATGCTGAACATTTGTCCTTTCATACATATATATACATATTTATATAAAATATATATTGTAACAGCTAAATTATTCAATTAGTAATCATCCCGTAATATAAAGGTCAACTGCACTTACTTCCCATCAATAAATCTGTAAATCTCACAATAATAATAAAACCTTAGCCATAAAACAAGCAACTAAACAGCGTCTACTTGATTCTGGCTCGGTCAGTGGCGTGTGCTTCCCATGTTTCCACAGAAAAAAAAAGTGAAATAAGAAAAAGCCAAAGGAACTTTTAAGCACTGATAAAGATCAATGGCTCTGTTGAAGATATAAATTTATAGCTCCTAGTTTGTATTGATTTGGCTCCAGTGCTGTTGGCTCTCAGGATGTCAGATGGAGGCAGCTGAGGAGTTCAGCACAGGGAGAAATAATAAATAAAATATAGATTGATTTTGTTGTTTTAGTTTATCAATAGTTTTGATAAAAGATCCTTTTTTTGCCAAATATATGTTTCTACAGGAAACATGGAATGAGGAGACGTCAGAAATGATGAAATAAGAGATTGGCGGCTTTTTGTACATGTATTTTTCAAATTATATTGATATTTCTATACTTTACCGTTTTGAATTAGCAGGTAATGGGAACCTGTCACTAACTGAACTCTACACTCTGCCATTGTCTCCTTATGACTCTTTGGATTAACGTGGGGGTTTTTATCTGCAATTGGATAATTTAATTATAGGCAATTATGCAGCCATTTAGTAACACAGCAGATCCAGAACTGTGGACCAATGCCTTCACCCCGATACAGTCAGAACGGAGAACGGCATCCTCTCAAAGTAAACACCAATGCTGAGGAAATCACCACCACCACCTGCACTTCTTATTTTCAGATCAACTTCTAAAAGACTAAGCCTATCATTATCCAGCATTTGATATTTAGTTGTTTTTTTTTTTGTTTTTTTGATGATGTAGGTTGAATTTCTCCTAATAGGGGTTGAATAATACTAGGACGATTTACGAGTGCTTTTTATCCCCCAGTTGCCACACAGATTCCGGTTTCATCCCACCAGTAGTTTTCGTAGGTATCATTTCTCTTGACTGGAAAAGGCCCCTGTTGACTTGTCAGACTCATCGCTCAAGGTGTGCACTGGGTTTCAGTAGGGCCCGTGCTGACACATTCATAAATATGACACCTTGTTTTGTCCTTCTGGCGTCTTTTTGGTTGGCGATGGCCTTTGAATTGGAAACAGGTAAGCTAATAGGCCTGCGTCTGATGCATGGGAACGAGGGCTTTGGGAGAAGGCAGGTTGGCCCCGGGCGACACATGACAGGCAGATAATGACTGTATAGCTGTCGAGTCAAGGATACCTGTCTGCCGGTAAATACAGATTTGCCTTCTTGACATCATTTTTCCACCTCCTGGAAAATCAACTGAATGTGGCTTTCAGACTGTTTCAGACTAGCTTTCAGACACACACACACATACACAATCACGAGTGCACGCCGAAACAGGAACAAAGGCGCAATAAATGTATGCGGTTATAATTGTGATTTTCTGCACCATCCAACGTTCCCACGTAATGCCGTATATTTTGGAATGCTTGGACAGATTTAATATGATTCTATTGTAGTCAGGCATGAAAGATAGAGAAAATGTGTGTGCACGTTTTGCATGTACGTGTATGTGTGTGTGTGTCCATGCGTGAGCCTGTGACTGGCAGGCCGGCTGAGGCCTGTGTATTGCACGTCGCCTGGGGGAATGCAGGTGAAAGCAATCTTGGGCCATGAAAGCCGACGAGATGCGCCTTTCTGCACCCACAGAGCTGGCGAGCTGATTTCTTTTTGATAGGTTCAAGCCCTGACACCGGCACCCCCCACCTTCAGTCAACCCCACATCACCGTAAAGTAAGGCCACGGCGGCGGTTGTTCACAACTCAGCCATCTATTCATTAGTGACTGGTAATATTTCCGCTGTGTTATCATTCAAGTCCCTGAATCGTCTTCTTTCCAACCCAGCCTTGCTTGTTTACACTCACAAACATGCGAGATACATTTATTTTGCTCATCTCTCAACTCTCCCTGTTGCCCATTTTAGCCACAGTGCAGAGCAGAAACATAGAAACACCTCATTTGTTCACTATTCGGTTATATTCCCTGAGCGTAGAATCATTAGCAGCTAATCATTTTGCGTTTTAATGGAGAGGTATTTATGGCTCGATGTGTGTGCTGGGACGAAGCTTGCGTTAGGCTCATAATAAACCAACATGTTCTTCCTGCCTTCATGCATGCAGCCCTCACTGTTACCCAGTCAGAGAGTGGGAAAAATTTCAAAGTTTGTAAAAACACGACAAAATATCTTTTATTGATACCTTGAAGGTTCTGAGGTAAATTGGTCCTGATCTGCTCGCCGGGTTCTAAGTAAAGCTTGTGGTGAATGATAATTGTTTAAGTCAATTCATTTGTGTCATCTGTGATGTCACAATCTTTGACTCCTTGAGAAGTTCCTCGTTCATTTTGCTGATTATTTTTAATTAAATGATAAAGAAAATATCACTTACATCCACGTTCCTTCTGGGTAAAGAGAACTTAACGCTTATGACAGTTTGTTAGCAAACAACAGCCACTAAGTGGGACCAAATACGATAATCTGAATGCTGCGAAGGACAGGAAGTATAGCTTTAAAGTTTTTTTTTCTTTTTCATTTTAAAGTAATATACTGTAATTATTCTGTAAATTCACACTACTTTTCACACTACTTATTACAAAGCTAGATAGCCTACAAATATGTTGTTCGGGGTCTTGTGGATTACCTTTGAGATTGTACTCCTTCCTTGTGGTCTCCAATTTTAACATGTCCCAAAGGTGTACAGTTGAGGCCGTTAGATTCACTGTCATAATTCTCAAACCAGTTTGAAAAGATTTATGGCTTTGTTTTGGACATGAATGTGGGTTGTTAACCACAAAAGAAAAGTTGAATATGATCAGCACTATGCGGGATGGCAAATAAAATGATGGATGAGTGTAAGAGACAAAACAATAATTAGAAAAATGTGAAAAGCCAAATCCTGAAGTCCTCACTTTTGACAAAAAGAAAGTCATAAAAGTCATATTTCATATAGAAAGAAATGTAGCCATTTTTTGAGAAAAACTGAATAAGTTTGGTGGAGCCAAGTGAAAAAAAAAAAAAGATTTTCCTACCAGCAAAACATTAAGAACCATTTATCAACAAACTTGAGTTTCTCCTGTATTTAAATGTTGCGCTCAGGTGGTGCCGTTTTTGAAACCTGAAGTCTGTGGATTGGAGAATTGGCTTTTGTATTTTTTGTAAACAGCAATTAGATCCACTCTAATTTTGAGAGAAAATAGACAAAAAGGTGGAGCTAATTCTAGACTTCTGACAATGCACACGGCCACCAGCACCTGCACCTAAAAATGACAAAAACTAGATCAGAAAGACAGTTACGGTCCTGTCTTTAAAATAATTCACTGTGTGTTTTACTATGGTTGTCTCTGCCCACTGCCTGCAGCACTCCCTCAGTGACAGCTGTCATCGTCTGACTGACAGCCACTGCCGCCTCCCAATACAGCTTTTTTTGTGTTTGGACATCTTATTACATATGACGTTTATCTTAGATGGACCATCAGAATGATACAATGTTGACATTTCTGAATAGATGGCCAAAGGAGCCAGTGTTGCAGGAGCTCATGCCAAAGAGCAGGAAATATACAATTAACTGTTAGCTTAAAAAATGCATGGTATAATATATGAAACGCATTATTGGCTGTGACTGCAGTGTATATGCGTGCATATTTTACACAGCACATCTGTGTGTTGCATAAGCTCCATTAACGCTCCATGCATAACTTTAATAATTGTTTTCCTGAATGCCTCCATACGTGGTTTTTAACTCTGTGACATGTTAAACCACCAGCAGCATTACAGCATTTAGCATGTAATTTGTCACCTATTGTATCTTTCTGCAGTCAATCCCAGGCAGTGACCAATCACATTTAACCAGCCACAATTTTTAAATCTAATTTTGTTTTCATCCACCAGAGTTTATAAAATGTATCCAATTCTAAAGGAAAAGAAAAGTCTTATGGTCTTGTCCACAAGTACTAAAAAAGTAAAATTGTTCTGTCTTTCTGTTACGTCACAGCAGAGGAGCCTGCATCCTGGCCCCCTAGCTAAAATGTAAATGTGTGTTAGTGCCAGCCGTGGACACTGTAGGGAAGCTCAGCAATTACACTGGTGAGATAAAGTAGCAGACCTAAGCCTTGCCTGGTGAAATGACATACCCCCCTACCTTCCTCTTCCTGTACAATCGTCATAATATTGTGTTTCTATCCTGGGCCTGTAACCTTTGATTAAATTAGTCCAGCATTGCCTGGGTCCTTTTGTAAACTGTAGGCAGTGGAGAGCTACTTAACGGACCCTGTCCCTCGGAGGAAAGAAACTGCTTGAGCTTACAAGTGTTCAGCCGCAGAAATATCAAAATCCTCTGACTTAAATCTCTCTCCTTCCATCCCTCCGTTTCCTCCTCCATTCTTCCTTGTTCTCTTTTCATTTACACTCCCTTGCCCTCTCTCTCCTTGTCTCTGCTGAAGTGCCAGCTCTCCCCGTGCATGTGTTTGTATGAGTGTACGCCTGTAAGTCAATCTATCACGCTCTGTCACTCTCCAGGTGAGGCACACATTATGAGATGTCAGAGAAAGAACAGCAAAATGACATTTTGCTGTTGTTATTTTTCAAGTCTGTGCGAACTATCGGAGCTGTGGACTGAATGAAGGCATACATCAACACATCAAAATTGCATTTCGTTCGAGGAGGTGGGGATTAATGTGGGGA